GCTTTTCATACAAACGGACACATAAAAAAACCCTTACCACAACCTTGTCAAGATATCAAGTTCTTTCAAGAATCCTAGAAATCTTGAGATCCTTGTTACAAGCCCCCATCTCACTACAAACAAGGCATCTCATTCACTTCCAGGAACTCAGTAGGGTAAAGATGGTTCGATCTCCATGATCAAAAGGGTGTAGAAGCATTCATACATGTCATATCGGTTTTAACATTAAAAAATTTCATATATTTGTTTTCTTTGTATTTCATGGTATACTAACTTGTTTAATGTATTCATGAGATTCAACACTACAGGTTTTGACTATCGTCATGGTCCCATACAGTCGAAACCATGAAATGCCATGGTTACACCAATTCCATGCGTTTTCGCCATAGCTCTTGATCCCTTACGTTTTAGCCCACAAAAAATACTTCCATCGGATTCGCAACCCTTGGTTTAGGGGGTAAGATGTTTTTTGGATTACTAACTCTGTCTGTTTTGCAGGTTTATTACAAAACGCGCTGATGCCAAATCCTAACACCAAGGTGTTCTTAGCCTGGTGGTGAGCATGTTGTTGGAAATTCCTGAGGGCGTGGGTTCAACATCCACCCCTACTCTTTTGGGTTATTCATTGTTTCAATTCTCTATTCTCCTTACTCTTTTCCTCCTATTTTCCTCATTTTTCTTCAAATTAACAAAACATTTTTCATAAACCCTAAAATTTTTTCACAAACTTTTGCTTTTAACAAACCCTAATTTTAATTTTAGGTTTTTAATTTAATTTTAGAATTTTAATTTAATTTTAGGTTTTTAATTTTAGGTTTTAATTTAATTTTTGGTTTTATTTAATTAACCTCAATTTAATTTTAGATTTTTACTTAATCAACCCTAATTTAATATTTTTAGGTTTTTCTTAATTAAATTAAAATCAATTTAGATTTTAGGGTTTTGTTTAATTAACTTTCTTTTTTTAAATCAAAACTAATTAGTTTTTTTTAGATTAATTATCAAATCAATTTTTTATCAAATCATGAAATACTTTTCTTTTTCCCTTTATTCTATAATCTTCGCGTGCTTTTATTATTTTCACATTATTAGTTTTTCCCAATTATGTATCTCCTAATGGGTTGTAATAGTTTAAATTAGGTTTTTTTACTTTCTATTTCCCCCTATTTTTGTGGGTTGTACCCCCTTCCCCAAAGTTTTGTAATAGCGTAGGACATTTATTTTCTACTTTTACTGTTTTCCTTATAACTTCTTAGATTAATAGGATTGTATGGCAAGACGTAAAATAAATAATTAGCTAACCCTAATTGTAAGATAAATGAACTGAATTGAATCACTCGCACACTTACACCTCTAGGGTGACCTCTCTCGTTGCCTCGAAAAATAATGGTCATGTCCCTCAAACGTAGGGATACCATTAGCAAAGACCCTCAATTACAAATAATCATAAAGATCATAGTCCCTCTATGTCCCTCGAAGTTGCCTATGATATTTGATCTTATCCCTCGATGTTGCCTACAAATATATATGATGACAGTCCCGTCAAATTGCTAAAGGTATCCCTACATGTTGCCTTCAATGACCATAACGACGACCCTACGCCTGTCCCTCAAATATCTAAAGATGGGGCTTCCTGCTAACTAATGGTATGGATAGCACTATCCAAAGGAGGAGGAAAAATACAAGAAAGACCTTGAGTGGGTAGTTACTGTTAATTGCTTGCTCATAACTTAAAACACTTTTTCACACCTCATACTTTCAAAAACATTTTTAAAACACTTTATCAACACTCTTGAGGACTGATACAAGAATTATCATAAAGAAAACTGCCTTGCTATTTGGCATTTCAAAACTTTTTCAAAAGCACACACACAAAACAAATAAAGTGAGCAAGCGATTAAGAGCCTGTAGATAACTACGGATGAAAATGGTGCTAACACCTTTCCTTTTCATAATCTACCCCACATACTTAGAAAATTCTCAAAGGTATTTCCTGTTCTTTTCAACCTTTCCTTTATTGGATAAAAGAAAAATCGGTGGCGACTCTTGCTATCCGCACAATTACGATAAAATACAAAACAAACCAAGTAAGTTCTCCCACCGTATTACAACTTGGATAATGGCTCAAATGATTGGAAAATGGCTCAATATGTTTTGTAAACAATTAATTAAGGAGTTAATTGAAATTTAGAAGCTTGCAAATCAAGATTATGCAGCATGGTTATGAGATTTGATCAAGTATTCATCACAAAAATGACTTGTAATTCAAGAATGGATGGCCAACTTCTTGCCTTCGATTCTCTTAGATAAAACATGATCTCTCCAAGTTCTTGGACATTTTGTAAATCTTGAAACATTGTCTACAACCTTCATGTTGACCATTTTGACAAAATCAAATTGGAACTAGGTGAAAATTAGCCAAGAAGTTAGGTCAAAACTCTACCTAAACTTGTCAAAATTTTCACTAAGTGTTATATGAAAATGTCATGACTTCATGGGCTTATATCTTCAAATCTAAGCATTTTTTGGACATCATCCCTCTAATACAAAGTTGTATAACTCATCAAGATCTACAACTTTCATGTTTAAAGTTTTCTTTGAATCATCTTGCATCTTGATGAAAAAAGGTCATGAAGTAGTGAAATTATCAAGGTTTAAAACACTTAGAAATTTTTCTAAGTCTTGAAAAGTTTGACTTTTTATATTGACTTTTGACTTTCTTGATTCTTGATGATCAAGATTCATATTTTTTTAATGTCTTGATGAATCTTGATCTTTGAAACTTAATGTTGATCGAAAAGTCAAAGTTTGACTTTTGGTGTATCAGTTGACTTTTTTCATCAGTTGACCAAATTTCAACAATCAATTGTTTGATCTTGAGAAATGAATTGAGCCATGGAATTAGGTCAAGATTTTATCTTTGAATCCTTAAGATTATGCCTTAAGTTAATAGGTCATGTATTAGGTCAAAAGTAAAAAATCAGTCATTCTCAGTCAAAACCCTAATTTTAACCATTTTGCCCCTTTGATGATTGGAACACTTTTCTTGAGGAATTGTGATCCAAACTTAATCAATTGATAAATATGAATTCAAAATGTTGATATTGGCCAAAAATATTGAAGTTTGACTGTGGGTTGATCATAATTGACTTTTTACTCAATAAAGCTGATTTTTAGTCATCTGATCAATTGACTGAGCAAAATTGTGATCTAAGACTTGAAACTTGGCATGAGTATTCTTGGAGGTATATAATGAACCATGAAAGTCATTTGAGTCATTAGAAGTCCAATTGTCCTTGTGAAAATCAAAACCCTAATTTGTGACCTCATTGCTAGGAGATGAGTTTGTCTGATCAAACTCTTAAGAGAGGGCAAATTTCGAGGTACAACACTTATTAATACTTAATAGTACAACAAAACAACTCACTTTTGTTAACCATATTAAGATGAATATTTTTTCAAAGTAAATAGGGAATATGATGTAATGGGGTGTGGCAGTGGGGCTACTTGGGTATTCCTAGTCAGATGCATGAAAGTATTCAACCTAGATTGTAGGAAATTTCTAATTTTCTAACAAAGAAGTCACCAATTTTTGGAATGTCAGATCAAGTGAGATGGAAAGAGAATCAAGAGGCATGCTATTCAATAAAATCAGGTTGTGACCTCATTTTGGAGGGGGGAAATTAGGAATATCTAGAAGTGGATCAGATAGAATCCTTCAATAGTTTGTGGAAAGTACAAGTTCCAACCAAGATCAAAGCTTTTAGATGAAGGATGTTTCTGAATAGGCTCCCTGCTAAATATCAACTCATCAAAAAGGACTTTGTCTCTTAACTCATCATATCTCTTGTGTTCTTTATTTTCAGGAAGAGGAAAATTTAGAGCATATGTTTTTCGAATGTAAGGTGTCAAGAAGGATATGGACAGATTTAGAAGTTTGGTTGGTTATCTCTGATTTGTATTCATGTCTAATTTGGAGGAGATTCAATTTAAGAAGTTTTAGAAGAGAAAAAAAATCGGGCAAGGAAGGTGTTATATGGTTGACGGCTCTATGGAACATTTGGACTCACAGAAATGACGTACTCTTTAATGGATATCTGCAGCGTGCAAGAATTCGTTTGAAAAATAAAATTGATAGCTTGAAACTAATCAATTATAGGAAACATTTCTCATTCCAACTTTAAAGTTTTTAGATATTTGCATGACCTCTTTAAGTTGCTTATCTTAAAAAAATGGTTTAAAATATCTTTTTTCTTTAACATTCTTGACATTTTGTAAACGACCTAGAGCAGATGTACTTTTAGTTTGCTTGAAAAAAATAAAAAGTAAATTATTATATTAAGAGATTAATTTAATTCAACAATAGTTTCAACAAATTTGTTTAAGAATCAATACACTTTCGTTAAATACAATCTAAATAATATTATTGCAAACACATTTTATATGAAAAATTAACAAAATCTAAAGTAAGTTATTTTAATTGAGTTCACAGCATGAATTGATCACTACATAAACCATAAAAACTATGATTATAAGTGAAAGTAATATTTTTTTTGTTCTGTTACTTAACTCTAATGTGATTATTCAACCCTAAATATATTAGATAAATAAGTTGTATTTAAGTTATTAGGTTTTTAGTTTGTTTTATTGGGCTTTACTATTTTAGTCTCAAGTCCCATTATGATGTACTTATATACTAAGTCTTTTTGGTATAATAGAAGAACATTGTTTTTCAGAATCTTTTCAAATTCATTTTCCCGCCTATGGCTCGTCTTCTTCATTCTCTTAAGCGAACCATAGTTGTAATATGGTATCGGTAGTATAGAACCTTCTTTGTTCATCCTTTCTGCATCACATGTCTTCTTCTTTCATCCCTTCATGGCGTCAGACGAAGAATATGATAAATCCACACCAAGAACTCCAAGAATGTATCTGAATCCAAGTCCAACTCTGCTCAGGACAGAGACAATTTCATTTCAAAGAAAGAGTATCAGCACTGTATGCTTTTCCTTCAACAATCCAGGAAGGATCAAACACATGCCAAGAATGATAAAGCTTCAAATTCTGACACAAGAGTAATCTCAGGTATGGTTAACATAGGTAATCCTATTCGTGATACTTCTATATGGATACTTGATTCAGGGGCATCACGTCATGTTTTCCCTCATATAAAGTGTTTTTCTGGTATATCCATGATTCCACTTGTGCAAATCTATCTTCCTAATGGTACTTTCTTAACTTCTCATTATTCTGGAATTATTATACTTGAACCTTCTCTTCATCTGCATAATGTTATTTGCTTACCAAATTTTAAGTTTAGCTTGATTTCTATCTCTAAACTTTGTCTAAACTCTAATTATAGAGTATCATTATCACACAACTCCTGCTTTATTCAAGATGTGTCTACCAAGAGGATGATTAGCCAAGTGGTTCAACATAACAACTTATACATTCTACATAAACTTCCTGTGAACAATTACATTCCTTGCAATAGTTGTAACTTTGTTAGTACTGAGGATTCTGAACATAATCATCCTTCTTTATGGCATCATCGTTTAGGAAACCCCTATGATGAGGTCTTACATGCTATGTCACAATTTTTTCATGTTATCAAACATCACAAAAATTTTGCTTGTAATACTTGCCACTTATCAAAAAAATGTAAACTTCCCTTTAATACTAGTAATTGTGCTTCTCTTAACTGTTTTGATTTAGTGCATATGGATATATGGGGTCCCATTTCTATTGCCTCTATGGATGGTTTTCCATATTTTCTAACAATTGTTGATGATTTCTCAAGATATACTTGAAATTTCCTTATGGATAACAAATCTGACACTAGATTACATCTTAAAAATTTCATTGCTTACTGTCAAACTCGGTTTTCCTGTAAAATCAAGGTTATTAGAAGTGACAATGGTAATGAATTTCTTACACATTCTTACTATGCATATCTTGGTATTATACATCAAAGGAGTTGTGTTGAAACACCTCAACAAAACTCCATTGTAGAGAGAAAGCATAGACATTTACTCAATGTTACTAGGTCTCTTTTGTTTCATGCCAACTTGTCTAAAATGTTTTGGTCTTTTTCATTAAGCCATGCTACTTTCTTAATCAATAGACTTTGCAGTCCTACCATCCAAAACCACACTCCTTATGAGCTTCTCTTCAAAACACCTCCATCATATGACAACCTCAAAACCTTTGGCTGCCTTGCATATGCATCTACCCTTACTAGGCAAAGAGACAAACTTTATCCTAGAAGTAGTAAATGTTTATTTTTAGGATTCACCATGGGAATTAAATGATATCTTTTGTTCAACCTTAACACCATGTTCATCTTTACCTCAAGTAATTGTGTTTTTCATGAACACATATTCCCATATACCCGACACCCACCTACCCAACTCAATGATGCACATATCCTTAACACAACTTCACCCATCCATTTCTCTTTGATTACCCCCATTACCACAAACTCCCATTCCAACAATAATAATATCCCCAACATTATCCATTCTCCTGTCAATACTAATAACACACCTGATGTCCACACACCACCAGCCAATCCTCACAACATCATGCTTATTCAATCACCTTACACTTCACATAATCATGACATTGCAAATTCCCCTGATGTGGCTAACACAAGAAAATCTATGATACATAAAAATGCTCCTGCTTATCTAAAATATTTTTTATGTCATGCATCTCATAACTCTATTCTTTATGACACTTCCTATACTCGTCTTTCTCCTGCATATCATTCTTTTATATCTATTGTCCCCACTGCATGTGATCCCATTTCATATAAACAAGCTTCTGTTAATCCTTATTGGGTCAAAGCCATGCAAGCTGGAATTCAGGCATTGACAGATAATAACACATGGTATTTTACCACTCATCCTTCTGGCAAGAAAGCCATATGATATAAGTGGGTGTATAAAACATAATTCAACTTTGATGGTGCTGTAGAAAGGCATAAAGCAGGGTTAGTGGCTCAAGGTTTCAAAAAAATCCAAGGTATTGATTTTTTAAACACTTTTTCACCGGTTGCAAAACTCACTTCTGTCTGGTTACTTCTTGCCCTTTCCTTCTCTATGAATTTATATTTACATCAATTAAATGTGCATAATGCATTTTTACATGGTGATTGCCCATATTCAATCTTCTTTAATCGGAGGGTGAGATTGGCGCTAGACTTCCGAACGATCAAGGTAGAAGAGGATTGAATACTCAATAGAGCCATAAAATCCGCACTCTGAAGAACAGACAAAAGTCAGATATTTGGTTTTTCTATATTTTCTAATTTTTGGTTTTGTCAGATCGCGGTTAGACATACGAGGGACCAAGTAAACTTGAAGAATACATGTCAAGTCAAGATTAGACACGTGTAGGGTATCAAGTATATGTCAGATCAAGATTAGACACACACAAGAAAGAAAGAGACTGACCGAAGAAGGTTTCTAACAAAGATATCAAGCATACATGTCCGGAGTTGGTATCGAACACATACAAGAAAGAGACCGACCAAAGCAGACTCTAACGAAGATATCAAGAATACATGTTCGGTGTTGGTAGCGAACACATACAAGAAAGAGACCGAAAGAGTACTCTAACAAGGAAGGACGCACCTGTCATAAATAGGGTGTGAAGTCATATTTGATGGTGAGTTATGTTGAAGTTCTTTATGTTTTTACATTTCAGTTTGACATCGAAGGGATACATGCAAACACTTTGATATTTAAGTCAGTTACGACTAAAAGTGAAAGGATATTAGGGTTAGTATAATGTGTACCTTGATGTGACGCCTTCGTTAGAATTTTACAGTAGGAATCTAGGATTTGTATGGATCAAAAAGTTTCTACTTTAAACAACTGAATAAGAAGGCACGTGTCAGAGGATACTTTATGGTATGATATGACAGTTATGCATCTTCTAATTACTCTAATCATGTATTCTTTTAGAGCGGGTTTTTCTTATGTTATACGATGCTAGAACATTTTTCATGAATAACTCTTATAAAGAAATGACGTTATCGACCTGACATCAGAAAAATGACATAAGTATTCCTATATAATATGATCCAACGATCGTTATTGTCTTATAAATATTGCTTATCTACATTTCTAGAGCATGGTTATTCCATGGTCATCGGTCTTTCTACCTCATTCAAAGGCACAAATCTTACGGAAGGGATCTCACAAGTCTATTAGATGAATGCGAAGGTCTTTGACTTAGGCCCCTAGGAAAGTCTTTTAATAGGCTTAAAAAAAAAATTGTATTCGCCCTTAACACTAATCAAAAAATTTATTCCATGGTCAGATTTTATTAACATGTTAGTATTTATTTATATTAACGTAAATAATATATTGTATTTTAAATAATATCAAGATGTGTATACTAAAAATTAGTATTACTAAATTATATAACAATTATATATTGTAATAAATAATAAGTATCAAATATATAAAATAGTAAACAAATTACTTACACTTTTTTGAAAATACCCATTGTCAAATTTTAAGGTAATATGCATTATGAATCGTCTATGAAGTCCATGACAAAAGACTCAAGAGAAAACTCTAACTAGAAAGACGCACATAATATATACACATTTATTCTAACTACAAGCTAACAATTTCGCTCTTCAATGCATCAATTACCTTCAAATTCAATTAGACGGTTATGCAAAATAACACGCAACATCACGTGTAAATCGTTTCAACGGCTCTTGATTTATAAGGAGAAAATGCGGCATTTCAATTATTTAGATTCCTTCTCACTCTTATATTATTTCTTATTCTCACATTGATTTAAACATTGGATTATAACCCCGCTCTGTCGCATCAGAAATATTGTTTCACCGCATTAAAATACAACTCCACCACTTCATCTTCTATTTCTATTTCTATTTCTGCCAATAAGAGATCAAATTCACTGCAAATGGAAAATCCGACCTCAACCTTAACTTCTTGTCTTAGAATTGATAACTGCCACAACTATAATTTAGGAAACTACTGTAAGAAAAAGAAAGAACATTGTTGAATTGTTATTATCTGTGTCTTCAGTAGACTGCAATAAAACAGAAGCTGTACTTACATTAACAAATTATCAATGAAAATAGTCAAATTTCAACTTGTAAAAGCAATGTCAATAGAAGAAGAAAAAACCAATAGAGTCCTAAATAAATGTTTGGTTTCTCAAAAGCTACTCAACTGTCAACTATGTCGATCATTGCAGACACCATTGTGACAGATGACGATGACTCAAACATGTCGTAAAATCGAAATAACCACTCACAACTAGTCCTAAAATCTGGAGGAAAAACACGTTTAAGATGGAAAATCAGAAGAACGATGAACAGGTATCAGTAACTAGAATCACAAACCTTTACCTGTGGAGAATCCGAAAGAAGATTATCGACAAAGACGAGGAGAGAAATGAAGATCGATGAGATTGTTAATCAGGAAATAATCAAACACATTTATTGTGAATAATTTACATTCATAGAATAGGAAATTGCCATTATAAGTTGTAATTAGTTATTATGAGTTGTAATTAGTCATTATGAGTTGTAATTACCGACACTATTATATATAGTATCAAATGCAATGTGAAAGGCATCAAGCCAGAATTCATGACATGGTATCAGAAGGGTTCGATCTAACCTGTGAATCTTTGTTCTCTTGGCTGAATAGCGACACCCCACTGGGTCGCTCTTGAAATCGTGTTTCTTGTTTGTATTTCTCGAAATCTGAAATCTTTCAATTGCCGTTTCGTGATTTCTTCATTGTTGTTGCTTCGTGATCTTGATTCCGTGTTTATCGCACGTTGTTTCGGTGATCGTTAATCATTTGGTGCTGCTAACATATTGTGCTTTGCGATTCCGTTTCGTATTCTCGGCGATTCCGCTTGGTGATCGTTGTTCTTGGTGATTCTGTTCGGTGATCGTGGTTTCATTGTTGAATTGTTGGCGATTTCTAGATCGTGGGTGTTTTTTTCACCGTTCGTTAGCTACTGCGTGGTTTCCTGGTTTACCTACCGCGTGGTTTCCTGGTTTGCTTCCCATTGTTTTACTATTTATTTAATTGGTATTATTAAATAAATTGGTTGCACGTGCACACTGGGTTTGGATTTATCCTGTTTATTTAACAATACAAAGGGGTTATATCTAATGGCAATGGAAAATGAAAAGAATTTTTGTGTCCGTTTTACCGGCAAGAATTATTCTGCATGAGAATTTCAGTTCAAGATGTATGTTAAAGGAAAGGGATTATGGAGTCATTTAGATGGTGTTTCTAAGGCACCGACGGAGACAACTGGTTTAGATGCGTGGGAAACTAAAGATGCTCAAATCATCACTTGGATTCTCAACAGTATTGATCCTCACATGATCAATAACTTACGCTCTTTTTCAACTGCTCAAGAAATGTGGAATTATCTAAAGCGTATTTACAACCAGGGCAATTCGGCAAAACGTTTTCAGTTGGAGTTAGAAATAGCCAACTACAAACAAGGTGATTTGTCTATTCAAGAATACTATTCTGGTTTTTTAAATCTCTGGGCAGAACACTCTGCTATTATACATGCTAATGTTCCCAAGACCTCTCTCGCGGCTGTTCAAGAGGTTTACAACACAAGTGGTCGAGATAAATTTCTCATGAAATTACACCCGGAATTTGAGGTTGTCAGAGGTGCCTTGTTGAATAGGAATCCTGTTCCTTCTTTAGATACATGTGTTGGAGAACTCCTAAGGGAGGAACAACGTCTTATTACTCAAGGAGCCATGTCTCATGATGCTACCATTTCTGAGCCCGTGATGGTTGCATATGCTGCTCAAAGTAAAGGTAAAAATCGTGATATGAAACAGGTCCAATGCTTCTCTTGCAAACAATTTGGTCATATTGCTCGTAGCTGCAATAAGAAGTTTTGTAATTACTGCAAGCAACAGGGTCATATTATCTCTGAGTGTCCCACACGTCCTCCACGACCAACACAACGTTCAGTACAGGCATTCCATGTAAATCATGTGGTTGGTCCTTCCACTAATGGGGCATCAAACGATAGTGCTATACAACCTAAATTGATTCAACAAATGGTACTTTCCGCTCTCTCGGCCTTGGGAATTCAGGGTAAGTCTTCTAATGTTTCTCGCCCATGGTTTCTTGATTCGGGTGCATCCAATCACATGACAGGTTCTTCAGAGTATTTGAACAATTTACACTCTTATCATGGTAATCAGAAAATTCAAATAGTTGATGGTAATACTTTATCTATTACGGATATTGCCGACATCAACTCTGATTTTCGGGACGTGCTTGTATCACCTGGACTTGCGTCTAATTTATCATCTGTTGGTCAATTGGTAGATAAAAATTATGATGTTAACTTTTCTCGTGATGGTTGTCTTGTGCAGGAACAGGTGTCAGGGAGAGTGATCGCGAAGGGGCCTAAAGTGGGAAGACTGTTTCCACTCCAGTTTATTTCTAATCATATATCTCTTGCTTGTAATAATGTTTTGAACTCTTATGAGGATTGGCATAGAAAATCAGGTCATCCAAACTCTATTGTTTTGTCCCATTTATTTAAAAATGGTTTGTTGAGAAATAAAAATGTTTCTAATGCCTCTATTTCATGTTCTGTTTGCAAATTAGCTAAGAGTAAAACACTTCCTTTTCCGTCTGGTGCTTATCGTGCTTCCACTTGTTTTTAAATGATTCATAGTGATGTATGGGGTATGTCTCCTGTAGTTTCTCATTCTCACTATAAATATTTTGTCACATTTATTGATGATTATAGTCGTTTTGTTTGGATATATTTCCTTCGGTCTAAATCTGAAGTGTTTTCTGTGTTTAAGAAATTTTTAACATATGTTGAAACTCAATTTCAAGCAAGTGTTAAAATTTCGCTCTGACTCTGGTGGTGAGTACATGTCTCATAAGTTTCAGGAATACCTTCAACAAAAAGGCATCTTGTCGCAACGATCTTGTCCCAATACCCCTCAACAAAATGGTATTGCAGAACGGAAGAATCGTCATTTGCTTGATGTAACACGCACATTGCTTCTCCAAGCTTCAGTACCATCCCGATTTTGGGTAGAAGCTCTTTCCACGGTTGTCTTCTTGATCAATCGTCTTCCTTCTACGGTTATTGAACTTGATTCTCCTTTCTTTCGTCTTTTTAAAATTCATCCTAATTATCGTGCTTTACATACTTTTGGGTGTGTGTGTTTTGTTCACTTACCTCCTTTTGAAAGGCATAAGCTTGGAGCACAATCAGTTCAATGTGCATTTATGGGATATAGTCACTCTCATAAGGGATTTGTGTGTTATGATGTCACTAACCATCGTTTTCGCATTTCTAGAAATGTGACATTTTTTGATAATCAGTTTATGTTTCCCTGTGTTTCTCCTGCCATAAAGGATATTGTTACTCTTCCTAAGTTTTCTATTATGCCTCAATGTATATAACGTTATAAACCAGGTCATGTATATGTCAGAAAACACAGACAGCAGGTTCCCACACCCCTTCCCGACGCTGAACCGCCACCTGATCCTGCACCGGTTAAACCACGACGTTCTGGTCGAATATCTCATGCACCAGATAGATATTCACCAGACAGGTATGATTCCTCACATACTTCTCTGACTGCCACACTCTCTAGCATATATATTCCTACTTGTTACTCACATGCTGTTAAGGATGTGCGATGGATAAAAGCAATGAATGAAGAGCTTCAAGCTCTTCAAGAGAATTTCACATGGGATATTGTCTCTTGCCCTCCCGATGTAAAACCTATAGGTTGCAAATGGGTGTATTCTGTGAAATTAAATTCTGATGGGTCCCTCAACTGTTACAAGGCTCGTTTGGTTGCGTTAGGAAACTAGCAGGAATATGGAATTGATTATGATGAGACATTTGCACCGGTTGCCAAAATGACAATTGTCCGCACGATCATCTCTATAGTTGCTTCTAGTGGTTGGACTCTTCATCAAATGGATGTGAAGAATGCTTTTCTTCATGGTGACCTGAGAGAAGATATTTATATGACTCCACCTCAAGGCTTATTCTCGTCATCTAAAGGCGTGTGTAAGCTCAAACGCTCCTTATATGATTTGAAACAGGCACCTAGAGCATGGTACGAGAAATTCCGCTCCACTCTACTTGGATTCTCCTTTATTCAGAGTCAGTATGATTCATCTTTATTTATTCATAGCCCATCTACGGGTATTGTTCTGCTTCTTTTGTATGTTGATGATATGGTTATTACTGGTTCGGATCATGCTTCCATTCAGCGACTTAAGCAACAGTTACAAGCCTCATTTCACATGAAAGATCTGGGTAATCTACATTATTTTCTTGGTCTTGAGGTTCATTCTACATCCAAGGGCATCTTTCTCCATCAACACAAGTATGCTACAGATTTGATTTCTATGGCCGGTCTAGAATCGGCTAACCCGGTAGATACTCCTCTTGAGGTTAATGTTAAATATCATCGTGATGATGGTGATCTTTTGCCTGATCCCTTATTGTATCAACAACTTGTGGGCAGCCTCAACTACTTGACTATTACTCGCCCTGACATATCTTTTGTTGTTCAACAAGTAAGTCAATTCATGCATTCTCCTCGTCATCTTCACTTGGCTGCGGTTCGTCGTATAATTCGCTGCTTAAAGGGAACCTCTCACCGCAGATTATTCTTTTCCGTTGGAATTTCTCTTCAGTTGAGTGCTTATAGTGATGCTGATTGGGCAGGGTGTCCTGATACTCGTCGATCTGTTACTGGTTGGTGCATGTTTCTTGGTTCTTCATTGATCTCTTGGAAAAGTAAGAAGCAAGCAAGAGTTTCTAAATCTTCTACTGAATCAGAGTATCGTGCCATGTCTGCTGCTTGTTCAGAAATACTTTGGCTTCGTGGTCTTTTGGCTGAACTTGGATTTCCCCAAACAGAGTCAACTTCACTTTATGCTGACAATACAAGTGCCATTCAAATTGTTGCAAATCCTGTTTTTCATGAGCGCACCAAACATATCGAAGTTGATTGTCATTCAATACGTGATGCCTACGATAATCGAATAATATCACTTCCTCACATCAGTACTCAGTTGCAGGTTGCAGATATTCTTACCAAGGTTGTTCCACGCCCACGACATCAGTTTCTTGTTAGCAAATTGATGCTCCTTGACCAGCCGCATCAATTTGAGGGGGGGTGTTAATCAGGAAATAATCAAACACATTTATTGTGAATAATTTACATTCATAGAATAGGAAATTGTCATTATAAATTGTAATTAGTTATTATGAGTTGTAATTAGTCATTATGAGTTGTAATTACCGACACTATTATATATAGTATCAAATGCAATGAGAAAGGCATCAAGCCAGAATTCATGACAGAGATCACATAATAAACAAGGGAAAGAGATAGTTTTATCATCGAACAAAAAGCTAAACACAAATTGATGTTACATTACAAAATATAGTTACATACATAAGCACCCTAAAGTCTTGAAAATAATGAAAAGTTTTAGCTTCCAACACATTCCAAATAAATAAAAGTCAGCTTTTTGTACTGTTACAAAATAAACCCAAGTTTGCATGGATCCATGATAACTGAAAATCAATAAATTTAACAAGAAGCAGGAATAGATTAATTCCACAGCAACAAATACTGGTTGACAATACACGAAAAAAGTCTTCACTTGTGGGGAAGTTTAACGACTTTTTGAAGAACCACCGTCCTTGCCCTTATAATGTCACGGCTACATGTATCAGCTTGAGCTCCTAAATCTTCGACATTCTTCATAAAAACTCCCAACTTCTTCTTGATTTCCTCTATTGCAACCTTCACCCCTTCTTCTTCCTCGATGGCAAAATCCACATTCGTTTTTAAGGATTCGATCTCAACTTCAAGTCGGTTAACTAGAATCCGTATATTGTCCAAATCCTTTATAGCTACATAGGATCCAACTTCCAATGCGATAGTAACTTCTTTATGTCCTTTCAATGCATTTTCATAGTTCTTCATCAAGGAATCAATCCACTTTCCCATTGAACCGACTGGGATAGCAGTAAGAGCAGCTAGAGCAGCCGCAACGTGCGGCGAAGCAACGGCTGCCGCTACAACGGAGCAGATCAACACAGCAGCCACCGTGGCAACAAATATGATAAGCGAGACCTTCTTCCAAGTACGAATTTGTTTCAGCTTCTTATCAAGCTTGCCTTTTCTGACTTGCAACTTCTCAAGCATGAGTACTTGCTGATGATAAACAGATTGATATATTTGGAAGAATTCTTCCGTGAAAGGATCACCGACAGCCTTAAAATTCTTCAGCTCCTCTAGCGTCCTTGCGTAGCAATTGTCTCCCGACACAGATTCTTCTTCAAACCTTTGAAGAGCGAGATGAATAAGCAACTGACTATCCCTAGCTCTCTTTAGGCACTTGTCTAAAGCGTTGCAGAAATCTAGAGTCTTCAAGCTGTTATCGAAATACTCCTCAACAAGCTCAAACAGTTCTTGACTCTCCCATATATCTTTCTTACAGTCTAAGATTACCTTGACAACTTCCTGATTCATCTCAAGAAGACATTCAGTGACTTTCTGAGTGAATCAAATGAAAGGGATCGAACTTCAACTCCAACTGCAAGAGAATTCATGACCTGATTCGTTCGAGCTTGAAGGTGAGTGTCAAATGACTGCAAATCTGAGTCAAGCTTGCAGGCAGCTTCATATGACCTCAGTTGAGTTACCATATCAGCATTAAGGTTGATATTAGACGGCGTTCCAGGAGTCTTCTTACTCATACGCCCCCCCATTGCTGTAAATTAAATAACCTGATTGCAACATAAAGCAAAAAAAGCATAATCAATCTCAAATTAGAACCACTGAGCACCACGAATCCTGATTGAAACAATCTTTGACCAGTTTCTTCAAGTAATTTTTTCGAAACTCAAAATTTAGAACCCTAAAACTCAATTTACATCCGAAAAATCTTATTATCAGACCACTTCGCCTAGGCTTCTTCAAGTATTTTTTTCAAAACTCAAAATTTAAAACCCTACAACCCAATTTACATTCGAAAAATCTTAATATCAGACAGCTTCGCCTAGGTTTCTTCTAGTATTTTTGTCGGAAACTCGAAATTTAAAACCCTAAAACTCAATTTACTTCCGAAAAATCTTAATTTTAAGTGTTTTTAACTGCGTATTTCAAACTCTTCTAAATCAAAATTCACGCCGCAATGGCCATATTGCACATCACAAATACCGCAATCGCAACCTCCGCAATTAAAACTATGAATGGAACTATTATTATTTATTAGTGCAATTAACAAATAGATGAACTTGATATAGGCAGTACATAAACCTAATAGAATAAATACAATCTATTCAACAAATCAATGCACTCTATTTCCATTCACACACATTTACATAAACAAATTCATTAAATAAAACAAACTAATAGTCATAAATAAGAACACAAAAAAAACCCTATTTAATGAAATTGATGAAGAATCGAAATGAAGCAGACCCAGATAGAGATTAGAGTAAAGTTGATACCTTTGAAAGCTTAATGAAGAAGAAAATGAGTCCCACAGAGAAAACGAGAAATGCTGAAAGTCAAAAACAGATTTTGTTAGTATTGAAGTAAAAAAAAGGAAAGTAAGAGAAATAGAAAGGGGGTGCAAGATGTAAAAAGAATGGTATTGGAAGTTACAAAGTGCTGTTACTTGCGAGTTACGAAGAAATGGTGGTGATTTATGAATCAATGACTTGCACGCACGAACAAAGAAATAATGCACCTTGTTTCTTAAGCTTAAACTAGTTTTGTGAAAGTGCGGAGATTAACGTGCAAAACATTGATTAATAGGTTAAGGAAAGGGTGAAGGGTCCATGAATGATGATAGATTAAGCTCAAACAGTTGGCAGTTTAGTACAGGTTGATGCTTTCACTTTTGGACTTTTGTGGTTTTACAACAAAAAGGAATGTATTTAGTTTAGTTTATTTGTTTGACAAGTTTCACTTTGCTTTGTTACTTTTTCCCAACAAAAACTAAGGTTCATTAATCTCTTTCCATTCAATAATTATATTGATTTTATTCTTCTTTTAGGGAGAAAGAAGCATAAGACTTTCACCCCCAAAACTTAAAAATTGTTATTAGTTAGGAGACTTCATTGGTCCGGACAAATGTGAATCAAATCGTAATTTAAATTAAATTATAGTGTTTAGGTTAGATATTTTTTAATTCCGTAAAAATCAAATCAAATCAATCAAATTTAATGTTAATTGGTCTGAGTTACGGATTTTTAAAATTCTGTCTACGAGTTTGTCTACTCGAACAAATCATAATTAATTTGTATAATTATTATGTTTATTAACGTAGAAATTATTATAAGGTATTCAACTTCAAGAAAAAAAACATCATTCGTGACATTCACAAACTATATAGAAAAACGAAAGAATTAGGATTTTATATTATTATGAAAATTTAGTTGAAATAAATCAGATTTTTTTTTAAATATGTGTGCGCATTTGTTTCAGATGTATCTAACAGTCCAACCTAATCAGTTCGTTATTTTTCGTTTTGGTTCGGTTTGAGTTTTACGGTAAAAATGTGCAAATTGTTGAAATATTAGATATAATATTAGTTATAATCCAAGTTGTGTAATCAAAGCCCAAGTCCAATTAGGGTTTGTTAGTCTACTTAGTGTATAAGTTAGTTGTATATAAATAGACTAGTTAGTATCATTATTTGTAACTGTTGTACCCCAAAATTTGCCTTCTCATTTCTCAAGAATTTTCTCACAAGATTTCTATTAAAGTTCAAGATTGCACAAGTATAATTAGATTTTTAATGCCCCACATAGTTGCCAGGGATCATATTGGATTTTCAAGCATCAAGTCAAAGAGGAAACTGTTGCAAGAGCAAGGCAGATAAATTTGATTATTTTTTTACAAAATTGAAGAAAAGCAAGCTTGCTTCGATTCATACTAGCTTCGACTGAACTCCTTCCTTCATGCTAGCTTCGATTGGGCAATGTCTCCCTTTGAAACAACTTGCTTTGATTCAGAAGGCAATGGCCTCTTACAGGTTTGCTTCGATTCAGAAGGCAATGGCCTTCTGCTGGTTTGCTTTGATTCATAAAGTAGTGGCCTCTTACTGGCTTGCTTCGATTCAAAGCAATGGCCTCTTACATACTTGCTTTGATTCACAAAGCAGTGGCATCCTGCATGCAAGCTTCGATTGAGCAATGGCCTCTTACATGCTTGCTTTGATTCACAAAGCAGTGGCCTCCTGCATGCAAGCTTCGATTGGACAATGGCTATTTTCATGCAAGCTTCGATTGAGCAATGGCCTCTTACGTGCTTGCTTTGATTCACAAAGCAGTGACCTCCTGCATACAAGCTTCGATTGAGCAATGGCCTCTTACATTCTTGTTTTGATTCGCAAAGCAGTGGCCTCCTGCATGCAAGCTTCGATTGGACAATGGCTATCTTCATGCAAGCTTCGATTGAGCAATGGCCTCCTGCAGGTTTGTTTTGATTCACAAAGCAATGGCCTCTTGTATGCAAAATTCGATTGGACAATGGCTATCTTCATGCAAGCTTCGATTAAGCAATGGCCTCCTGCATGCTTGTTTTGATTCACAAAGTAGTGGCCTCCTGCATGTAAGTTTCGATTGGACAAGAGCTACCTTCACACAAAGCTTCGATTGGAGTATTGGTTTCCTTCAAAGTAACATACTTCGAATCCAACTCTAAACCCTTCGAGCAAGCTTGGTTGAAGAACATTGATCAAATCTCATAGCCTTATCTTCTAAATCTCACTTGTCAGGCTATGTTGCTTCCAAATCTTTATATAATCAGAGGCTTACACAAATTTGTGATACATTACACAAAGATTCGAAGCTTTATCCACTGGATTATATCATTCTTGGATAAAATGGAAAAAAAACTACGTATCCTTTTTTCATAAAGATTGCTTTAATCACAAAGTTAGTTTTTTGAGCTCCCAACCTGATCTTATCTGAACACAAGCAGTGTCAAAAGCATGTGTCAAATCTCCTGCACCCAAAAAGCATCAGGTCCCCACTTGTACTTGAACTTGGAAACTATGAAAATCCATAAAACTTGATTCTTTTGTTTTTAACCAAACCATTAGTTTGTTATCTTACAAACCTGGTTACTCCTGAATGTCTCAAACCTTTTCTCTATAAATAGAGAGACCCTTTACAAATCAAAAGAAGGGATTTTGGTTGGGTGGAAAAAATCATCAAACACTCTCAAATACTCTCAAACTATCAAGCACTCTCAAACACTCTCAACTCTCAAACTCTTAAACTATCAAACTCTCAAACTCTCAAACTCTCAAACTCTCAAACTCTCAAACTCTCAAACTCTCAAAAAAAAATCTCAAACCCTTTCATACATTAGCCAACCTTTCGATTCACCCCTTAACTTCTACATACGAGCCTTGAAACACTTCCAAAGCCCTAAAAAAATCACTCAAGGAATTTTAGTGAGCCCTTCGATTCACTCCTAGCTAACCTTCGATTCAGTGACTTTCAAAACAAAGCAGCAACTGAAATAGCTTCATGGAGGTCGAAGCAGGTTTAGTTCATCATCAAACTATTCCTGGAGGTTCTGTCAAAGTCCCTCAAGTCTCACTCCAAGAGGTAAGTTTTCTAAAAATTAGAACTCTTCATTCAAACATCATTTGTATATACATTGTAAAGAAAAAATGTAGATATCATAGGAAGCTGACCATGCTCTTAGTTTTGATTTTCTTTACTTGTGTTTTGAGATTTTCAACTCTGACTAGTTATATTTTGATGTTTGTGCTGAATAACATTCATTGCTAACCTTTGGTCCATAGATTTTTAAAAGTCATATGGTTAGATTCATTTTGAAGATCTTAGGCAGGTTTTTTGTATCTTTCGATTGGCTGAGGATTGAAGTCTTTTGAATCTCAACATTGGAGTCTTGCATCCTTACGCTCGAAGGAAGAAGCTGGGCATTTCAAATATTCAGAAACGAGTTCAGTTTGTACCCAATCGAAGCTACCTTATGAACGGATGAAACATACCACCCCAGTGGTACAAATAGCGCGCGCGAAAGGCATTTTTGTAGAAGGTCATGGGTTCAAGCCCCAGCGAGACCTTTTGTTCATTTTTTATACTTTTTCACTTTGTTTTGTTTACAGAAAATACACTTGGGCCTCCACAGTTGGGCTTCAACCCCTTTTATGTTTCTGACCCCCTGTTTCCTACCAAACAAACAGGCCCTGAGCCCAAACAACACAAAACTATTTTTCTACACAAAAAAAAACTGTTTTAAACACAAAAAACTGTTTTCTACATAAAAACTATTTTTAAACACCAAAAACTGTTTTTTACACGAAAACACCAAAAATATATTTAAGTTATTTAGTTTATTTTATTTAACTTCTTACAATGAAAAAGACCAAAAATATTTTCCTATTTATTTTCTTTTCTTTAACTTAATTAAATTTCCTTAACAAAATCCAAACAAATCTATTCCTTTTTCCATTTTGTCTTGTACATTATATTCTTTATACATTATTCAAATTCAATATGGTTGTAATAGATAATTAGGATTTAGTTTCTTGCAATCCCCATTTGTAAATGTGTATACCCCATCCCTAAAACATGTAATAACGTAGGATATTTATTTTCCGCATTTTTATTGCTTTCATAAATGTTAGTAACTAGGGTGTGTATGGAAAGATAAAATCAACCCTTAGAAAACCCTAAATTTAAAGACAAAATGCATGCAATCAAACACACTATTCACACACATGCACCTCTAGGGTAATATCACTTGTTGCCTTGGAAAATAGTCATGTCCCTCGAATATGAGCGTTTTAGCAAAGACCCTCGATAAAATATCGTAGTTCCTCGATGTCCCTCGATGTTGCCTTCGGTAAACGATCTAGTCCCTAACGAAAATTGCTAAAACGTCTCATAGGTTACCTTTTATGACTATACAATTGACCCTCGTCTGTCCCTTCACATCCAACGATGGGGATTCTTACCAAATCAATGGTAAGATAGCAATATCTAAAGGAGGAGGAAAAAAATATTAGACCTTTTAAGTAGGTAGGCCGCTCATAGTTGCTTGCTCACAAACTAAAACCATTTTCCACACTTACACTTTCAAAAACATCTTAAAAAAAATATCTCTTTGAACTATTTTCAAAAAGTCCAACACTTTGTATGCATTCTTATAGAGACGAGAATCATTATAAAGTTTGCCTCAACGAAGGCGCTTTTCAAAAATACTTTCAAAACCCACCATAAAGCACATTTTCAAACAAAGCATTTTTCAAAGTGATATAGCAAGCAACTAAGAGCTCATAGATAACTATGGATGAAAAGGGTACTAACACCTTCCCTTTTCATAATCTACCCCCCGAACTCAAGAAAAATATCTCAAAGGTCTTTCCTGTTCTTTTCACCCTTTCCTTATTGGATAAAAGAAAAGTCAGTGGCGACTCTTGCTATCCGCAACAATTATGATCAAACGCAAAACAACCAAGTCAGTTCTCCCACCGTATTACATTAACCATTCAAGTGAATAATATAATCCTTATTTCCTTATTATTCTATCTTTCTCTCCTCACTAAAAATGACTCACACACTAACAAATTGGTATCCAGAGCTTTCAGTTATTGTTCTTGATCGTGGTTTCAAGAATTTCACGTTAGAGATCATGTTTCTAGAGCAAGTGAATCAACCGCTGCGAAGATGACTGGTGATAAGGGCATTCTGAATTCTCTTCCAATGATTGACGTAAAAAA